CTTTCCTGCCTATGCAGGGGGTCGGACTTGATGATCTATTGAGGTCCCTTCCGACCCTAACATCTATGAATCTATGAATCTAGGGGACAAAACAGTATGTAAAGTATTACAAGACTTTTTTATGAATGGATGTAATTGCTAAACTGATATACAACACACCCACACGACAAAAATCTGCACAGACCCATCCCATTTTCCCCTCCTGAACAATGTTTCTGAGGGCCTTATCTAAACGTTTTTTGTACTGATTTAACTTCCTCAATTCAAAAACCCATTCAGTTTAAATGGTGCAACCCCTCAGTTTTGGCTCAGTTATATTAGTAAAGAAACGCTTACACTGGCCATAATACAAGCGCCTTTATACTCATGATCTACATTCATGCAGGTATACCAGTGTAACTAGATGGGATTTCAAATTAATTATCAAGTCAGTACCAAAAAAACACTGCGAAAGCAGAAATAATTAAACATGATGTCAGCCGATGACTCAGACTCTTCACAAACAGGCTGGGAAATGTCATAGAGGAGACAGCCCTACAAGCTCAGAGAGCCTAAATAGATAGAGAGGAAAAAATAGTATTTGGAGGCTCTGGAGCTGAAGACAAACTGAAAAGAAAAATGACAAGGAACTGATTGTCTAAATGCCTCCTGCCCATTCTTTGATTAAAAAATATTTTAAAAACACAGAATAAACCCTCTCAAATTGACACTCACTAGGATTTGTGCCAAAATATTTATTTGTGGCTGTTAATTCAGATGTAGATCATGCCAAGTGTCCACTTGAATTAGATCTTGGCATGTTACTCCAGACAAGGACAGAAGATGCCAAGCTAACCAGGACTCCCACGAATATGGGTCACCTCCCTTTATCTTCTGTCCTGCTCCTTTGTCCAATTTGTGCCTAGTTTGGTAGGAAGTAGCTCAGGCCAAGAACTTGCCACATTAAACATGTGTAATGTGCTGCAGAAATAACATTGCTGCCTGAGGCCTATCAAAAGAAACTGGGGTCAGGCCTGTAATGGTGAGCATCCTGGGAAAAGATATACCATACTGCTCATACAACATAAGGGATCTGTGCTGTTTTCCAGGCTCATGTGGGTCAGAGCCTGAGTGACTGATCATACCATCTCTCATTCAGGCCTGTGCTTGGTTGACAACAGGCTGGGACGGTTTAGTTAGGATGATCCTGCCTTGAATAGGGGGCTGGATTAGATGGCCTTGCAAGGTCCAGCCTGGCTTCCCTATGACCCTATGATCATAACGTGGAAGGCTGAGGAGAGGATGAAAACAATATAATTTGCTCTTCTTCTTCACCAGCATGTCTTTGTAAAGTAGCTGTTTGGTCCTGCAAGCAGACCGGAGGCCTCTTACAAAAATCCCTCTATACCCTGGGGCTGGAAATCACTCTTCTTAGGATGCTTCTTTTTTCCTGTTACAGCCTGATCTTCTCTTTCTTCCAGATATCCCCAGCCAGTTCCAAGCAATGGCACTGGATTTTGTAGCAGCACTGATTCCCACTTCCTTCCCTGATCTCTCAGGTTTCTATCTTCGACTGTCCCCATTATTATGGGACAGGACTTGTAGCAGGACCCTGAATGTGATATCCTCTCCTCTTGGCCACAAAGAAACACATGCAACCTTCCCACAAATCAGGGAGCCTCAGAGAAAGGTGACCAGGCCTGTAGACACCTGGATTTCTTCCTAAGTATTACATTAGTCATCCCACCACCACCAAGTCCACACTGACCAGTTTCACTCTTGCCTCCAAGGTTGGCCATAAAAACCTTGATTCCTCCTATGGAATACACTACCCGCCAGTGGAGCTCCCTGTTCACCAGTGGGATACTCTCCTAGAAAGAGCTCAGCCAGCCACAAGATCCCCTTGAAACTGTCTCTAAAATACCTGTGGGGGCTGCCCTAACTCCTTCTCCACTCCCCTCGTAAAGAAACACAGGAATATAAGACTAAAAGGGGTCATCAAGTTTCATCTGCTATGTTCACAGGGACTTATTAACTGAAGGAATCCACAAAACCACCCCTTCAAGCCCTCACTTACAACTTCAAGGTGCAAAATCAGGGAAAGCAAAAACAGCTTATAACAGGGGCACACAACGTTTCCATCTTTGGTCCAGGATAACCCACCCCAAGTCAGGGGCAGGTGGATAGGCAGGTACTAGGATGCAGCTGTCACCACTGCTCATCCTTGCAGTAGCACAAGGAGAACACCTGCAGCCAAAGCCCCCTGCCTCTGAAGCTCTACATCTACAGGCTGCATATCTCTACATCTGCAGGCCATATCCAGCCTGTGGACCATAAGCTGTTGACCACTGACCTATAAGATGCTATAAGTAAGAGCAGAGGCAGGTGTGTGATGTCCTGCAGGTGTGAGGCATATGGCCACTGCTTACACACAGATCTGAAGACCCAGGCAGAGCAGCACATATGGAGTTAGCCAGCTGTCCCCAGCAGAATGGATACTTTGTTCTGGGTGATCTGGAGGGATCCAAAAAGCTATGATAAGGGCAGCACATAGGGTGTGACAGCACTGCTCTTATGGTTGTGACAGCAAGACCCAATAGATGATGTTTAGACAAACCCACCCTGACAAAGACGTTGGTACTCACTTGGAAGGTGCCATTACAGGATCCTCTGCCCAACCTCCGTGCCGGCGTGCAGGTTTAGGCGGGGGGCCCTTTAAGGAAAAAAAGCAAAGCCACATGTATGTTATACCTGAAGCTACATGTTATACCTAACTCCAATTAGGGAAACTCAGACATGGGGTTCACTCAAGCTGACCTCTGTAAACAGTGACCAACAAGAAGCATCGGCCCAGCACTTAGAGGCTGGATTTAGAAGCGTTTTACAAAGCACAAGGAGCAGAAATGTTGCAGAGAAGGTTGAAAAGGTCTGTTAAAGCAAAAGATACATCAGACTAACCAGTAACCTGGCTGATCTTCAACTTCATATGCCCTAGATTGTGGTCCTTCTTACCCAAGGAACACTGCTGATGGCAGCCATTCTGACTGTGGCTGCTGCTCTCTCTCCAGGTTTTTGGGGCATATCCAAAGCTTACTATTGTTACCAGCATTTATCTTCTGTCCTTGCCATGAGAAGACTCTCTGCACCCAGGAGCATAAAGCATCTCATTCAGCAGAGGCCCAAGCTATCTGTATGACATACAGAAGTGGACATAATGGGGAGGATATGAGCTCACTTCAAATATCCTGAAACAGCAAATGGGCAACGGTGATTTGCTCAAGCAAGAGCAAAGTGTGAAAATGATATAATAACCCCGAGAGTGCCTTGGCTGTAGTGGGATTGGGACTCTGGGACCCCTGAGCTTTTGTTAAGAGAGAGAGTGGGTTGGGGAATCATGGGTTGGTGAATCCTGACAATTCTTTAAAGTGGAGCACATGTGGGGGTCCAGCCTGAGAGAAGGCCATGAGGTGAGGAGAGGTGGTGGTAAGCCCCATACTGAGGGTCTCCAGTGTTTGTTTCCTGAAGCAGAAATATTGTTTGTGAGTGTGGGAAACAGACAAAGTCTGCCAGGGGCAGCCGTTGCCTGTTGCAAAGAGGGGACGTGACCCCGCATAGCTCCCTGATAGGAACAAAAATAGTCACTCTCCAAAAATAAACAGCAAGCAGGAATGAGGCAGGAGCTGAAGTCCCAAAATACCAGCTTTCTTCAGCAAAGGGAGCACAGGAGGGCAGAGGGACAGGCAGGGAGCATGAAACACAGGAAATGGCCTCCATATATGGGCTCATCCGCAGGGGACAGAGCTCAGTCGACTGGAATGACCATGTCACAGAATGTGAAGCCTTCAGGGGCCCAAGTGAATGGAGTTTTCTGATCTTTAAATGATTCCCCCAGATTCTTAAGATGCCAAACCAGAGAAGATGTTGCAGTGCCAAAAAAGGAGCATTTTGAATTCGGTTGATTTGTACACTCCCAGAGTCCTGGAAAGAGACGAAAACACACCACATATGGGTGTGTGTGCACATGCAACCCTACTCCCACCACAGAACTCCCTCACCCCAAACAACTGTTCCTCTTTAATCATGTACAACCCTGAATCCACTTCTTGTATGGCTCAAGAGCTCTCTCATACACAGCCTACCATTCACATCCACCAGACACCCAGCCTTACAACTGTTCCCTGCACAACCACAGGCAGTGATGGCTCATGAGTACAATGAGTTGCACATATGCTGCCAAAGAGTACAGGAGGCAAAATGCTTTTAACCCAAACCCCAAATGGTGTGACTGTGGTTTAAAACCTACACCATCCAAAAAAAAAAAAAAAAAAAAAATCAACATTCAAATGCAAGGCCCCTCACGTTTGGCACCCACAATCAGGGGATACTTCTGAAAATGTTTTCCTGGTTTCTGTCCAGGACATGACTTCATTATGTATCTGGGATTCAATCTCATTGTCTCATCCAATTTACAGTTTCTCCCCAATGTGTACATAGGCCACATAGCTCCTAATGTCCAAAATATGAACCTTTCACATATTCCCACAGCCAATTCTTCTGGTGACTCTTCCAGGATTAACTATAGTTGCACCCACTGAAGATTAGTGACTTGGTCTATAAAGTTCCATAATTAGGCTAGCGTTCTATGGGCATTTTTTTTTGAGTAATAATAAATTTACATTTATTTGGAATCATTTATCCCAAAATCTTAAAGTGTTTTACAAGCTACAATTCAAGTATCAGTTCACATGCATCACCAAAACACAGCTATTGCTGAGGTAGATCTGGCAGTTTCAAGCCAGACTTTGGGACAGAAAATGAAAAGAACACCACATCCAAATGACACTACAGGTAGAACTTCACAGGTCTGGTGTAACTAGACAAATTCAGTTCTAGACATTTCATCCTTCCTGTTACATTTTGGCGAAGACTCAAAAGAAAGGGCCCAATGGTAAAGTTCAGTGTCTAAAAATGTTGCCTGGTTTTCTAAAATAATGAGCACCCAGTTTCACTGTCATGCACCACCACTTATGACATTTTCGCATGTTTTCACCCACCTCTTCACACACACACACACACACACACACACACACACACACACACACACACACACACACACACACACACACACACACACACACACACGCTTTCACTCCCCTTAACTTTTTTGGCAGCATTAAATAGTCCTTTTTCTTGCCACCCTCAGCTTCTCCCTACAAGATTAAACTGTAAACTTGTGTTCCATCCCAGAAAACGTTTACCTTCAGTCCATATTGTCCATGGCTTGGTCCTTGAATTTTTTTCCCCCACAAGAATTCAATGTCTTGTCTTTATGATGGCATCAGGCATTCCCCAAACCTTTCTTTGTTGGAAGTTCCTTACTTGCACCTTGTTCATATGATTATCCCCTCCCTAACTCCTTTACATCTATTAGCTTTGTTCTCTGAATCCCCAGTCTTCACTATGTTGAATTCAAGCAGCAAGTATTCACTGGTTCCCTTCTTCATACATGTGGTCACTTTCTCCTCCTTGCCAGTCAGCAGCAGTTCCAGATGGCTTCTCCTCTATTTCCTGTATCACTTGGGAAAAAGGGGTTCCAGTCTCCTGTTAGCTTGTTTCTCTATTACTGCAGGGTATTTTTCCCCTCATGTAAAACATACAAGCTGCTGTTCAGGAACCTGAGAACAGGTAAAGCTTCAGTAGGCACTTACTGTTACAGAGACAGGTTATGGATGTGTTAGGTTCCTCCCATAAACAGGTTTTTAGGAGGGATAGAAGATGTGGATTAATTTACCTTCATCAGGTAAATTCAAATTCTGTGGAGGGAAACAGACTCAAATGACACTGGCAGTGTTTATCAGGGGGCACAGAAATGGTCTACTGTGGACCTTCCTCACTCACTAGAAGTGCCATGTCCTACTCCTATCCCTACCCAACATGCTAGCATTTGAAGATTTTAGATGGGATGGAATTGCCATGTATTTATTTACCAACAGACATGGAAAGGAAGAGAAGAAGAGAATCAGAGCCAGGCTTGAGTTTCAGTTTCTACAATAAGTTAGCTTTATAGTTAATAAAAGAAAAATCTCTTCCACAGAGAGACTTCTGATTTAGGCTAGATATCAGGAAAAACTTCTCCACAGTAAGGGTGGCCAAAATTTGGAATGGGCTCTCAAGGGAGGTGGTGTTCTCCCCTACCTTGGGGGTCTTTAAGAGAAGGCTGGATAGGCAGCTGGCTGGGGTCATCTGACCCCAGTGCTCTTTCCTGCCTAGGCATGCTCTTTCCTGCCTAGGCAGGGGGTCGGACTCAATGATATGTTGAGGTCCTTCCAACCCTAGCATTTATGAATCAATGAACCTTGTGAATTAGTTCTGGATAGTCACCAGAATCACAAAAAATAACCCTGATGCCTTCAGGCAGCCACAAAAAAAACTGGTCTGTACAGCTACCACACAGAACAAGATACAGGGAAGGACCAATTTCTCAAGTGTGCCAAAGGCAATTCCCCAAGCTTCCTACAGCAATGGAGTTGTGCCAGGGCCTGCCCTCACTTTATGAAGCCCATTGTTAGGAATGCAGCACAGGTGCTTTCCATGAGACAGCCTCCAAGGAGTTCCAGTTGTCCTACGTTCCTAAAGTAACACTGCTGAGTCCATTTCCCTCTAGACTCCTGTCCTTAGAGCCAGCTACTTTCCTATATTGTAGGAGATGGGGATCTCAGGTACAGCAAGATGGCCAGGGCCTTCTCTGGAGCCCTAAATGGTCTGTACCATTTACCACAATAGAAAAGTGCCAGTCTGTACTGCACAACAGGTGTCAGGACTTAAAACAACTGAAAGGCTCAGCTATATAGGAGGAGGCGTCGAGTGATCGTCATAGGCGACTCCATCCTGACAGGTACGGAAGGGCCCATCTGTCGCCAGGACCCCTCAACACAAGAGGTCTACTGACTGCCCGGAGCAAAGATTTGGGATGTGACGGGAATAATCCAGGCCAGGATTAAGCCCACCGATTACTACCCCATGGTCTTAGTCCATGTGGGTACTAATGATGCGGCCAGGAGAAGCCCCGATCACCTGATGACGGACTACCGTGCTCTGGGCGGCGTGCTGAGGGAGATCGGTGCACAGGTGGTATTCTCTTCTGTCCTACCAGTGAGCGGATGCGGAACATGGCACGAGAACTGCATTAGAGAGACCAACTGGCGACTTCGGCAATGGTGTCTCAAGGCAGGCTTCGGCTTCCAGGACAACGACCCGCGCATCACGATGAGGGACATGCTCAGTTGGGATGGGCTTCATCTGTCCCCCAAAGGTAAGCGTGTGTTCTCTTCTAGGTTGGTGGATCTCCTCCGGCGGGCTTTAAACTAGGCTCATTGGGGGGAGGGGAAGATGAGGGCGGGGGAACCCATGGACCAACAAACCATATGGCACCCACAAGGACAGCCCAGCCTGAAGGAGAAC